GTACTCACACCCATTTTGATCCTCGGACTCTCACTCTCTCTTGCATCGATCTCTCAGTCTGCTCTTCCTCCACCGCCTTAGACTTCACCTGGTCTGTTCTCCCGGATTTACATGACAGCGATCATTTCCCAATCATTCGTACTTCCCCTTCATATTCACCACCTCTTCGTATCCCACGCTGGCAATTTGATCAGGCAAATTGGAACCTTTACTCACAACTGTTTTTAGTGAGGTTCCTTCTTCGTCATCCATTGATGAGCTTTTACACCTCTTCTCGTCCTCCGTTTTAACCGCAGCTTCTCATTCTATACCCCAAACTTCGGGCAGGCATTCTCAGAAATGCGTGACTTGGTGGTCTCCTGCTTGTGCTCGTGCAGTACGTTTGAAACGAGCTTAATGGGGCAGGTACCGGTACAATAGAACCACGGAGAGACTTCTTGATTTTAAGCAGAAGTGTGCAATCGCTCGCCGTGTCGTCCGTGATGCTAAACGCACTTACTGGCAAGATTATGTCTCCTCCATCACCTCTGCTTCCTCTATGAGTGCAGTCTGGAAAACAGTACGAAAACTGAGTGGTAAATATTCTCCTGACCCGGCTCCTGTTCTGCGGGATGCCAGTGTTGATATAGCAAACCCACTAGATGTTGCCAATGAAATTGGCAATCATCTGGTCCGTATTTCTCAGGGGCTCCATCTATGCCCCTCGTTTCTTTCCTCAAAGTCTGCCAGAGAGTTAGCACCCTTGGACTTTTCTTCTCTCAGAGAAGAACAGTATAATGTGCCTTTTACACTTCAAGAACTGGAGGCAACACTCTCAGCTTGCCGATCATCGGCAGCTGGGCCCGACGACATTCATTTTCGTATGCCACAACATTTACATCAGTCAGCCCTTGCAGTCCTATTACGCCTTTTCAATCTTATTTGGTCACAAGGAGTTCCACAGCTGTGGAAATCTGCCATTTTTCTCCCTTTCCGCAAACCAGGCACTACGGGACATGAAGCCTCCCACTATCGTCCCATTGCTCTTACCAGTGCAGTTTGCAAAGTGATGGAATGCTTGGTAAATAGACGTTTAGTGTGGTATTTAGAGACACACAACAGTCTCTCCACTCGTCAATATGGCTTTCATAAGGGCCGTTCTACCGTAGACCCCTTACTATGCTTGGATACGTATGTTCGTAATGCCTTTGCGAATAACCACTCTGTTATTGCCATATTTTTTGACCTTGAGAAGGCATATTATGACACAACTTGGAGGTATAATATTTTGGCCCAAGCCCACTCCTTAGGCCTCCGAGGCAATCTACCATCCTTCCTTAAGAACTTTTTAACTGATAGACATTTCCGTGTTCGGGTTAATAATGTGCTCTCCCCGGACTTTATCCAAGCTGAAGGTGTCCCCCAGGGATGTGTTCTGAGCACAACACTTTTTCTCCTTGCTATTAATGATTTGGCCTCTAGTCTTCCATCAAATATTTGGTCATCACTCTATGTTGATGACTTCGCTATTGCCTGTGCAGGCGCTGACTGTCACCTCATTACAGTTTCTCTCCAGCATGCGGTCGACCGTGTTTCGATTGGGCCACCACACATGGGTTTAAATTTTCCAGCACTAAAACCCACCAAATTACTTTTACTAGACGCTCTGTCATCTCCGATCATCCTTTGTACCTCTATGGCTCCCGTATCCCTGAACGTAATACAGTCAAGCTTCTGGGCCTCCTCTTTGACTGTAGGTTATCCTGGAAACTTCACATTACCTCTCTGAAAACAACTTGTCACAGCCGGCTGAACCTTCTTAAAACCCTTGCTCATCTTTCATGGGGAGCTGATCGTCGAACCCTCCTTCGCCTACATTCCACCCTCATTTTGTCGAAACTTGATTATGGTGACCAGATCTATTCAGCATCTCCTGCTACTCTCTCTAGCCTTGACCCCATTCATCACCAAGGATTACGTTTATGCCTTAGTGCTTTTCACTCTTCCCCTGTTGAGAGCCTCGATGCAGAAGCGAACGTTCCATCCTTATCCGATCGCCATGATGCCCATTGCCTTCGCTACTATGTACGCTCTCGTGATCTCCCCAATCCTTCCATTTATAGAATGGTCACTGATATTAGTAGACATTCTTTATTTGTTTGCCGCCCGTTTACTCTGTCCCTTCTCTCTTCGCCTTCATTCGCTCTTGTCTTCTCTTTAATTACCACCTTTCTATGTTCATGTAGCATCTCACTTTTCCCTACCCCCCTGGGAATTTTCCAGCTGTTAGAGTCCGTTCTTTATCTCTCCCTTGCTCGAAAGCCCAACCGTCTATGGTCACTTCCCGCTCTCTTTTTCTTGACCACTTCCACTCTCATTCTCATGCCATTGCTGTGTACACAGATGGCTCTAAGTCTTCTGACCGTAGGATTCGCAGCAGTGTTTCCGACAGCGTCGTATGAGGGCATTTACTATCTTCGGCTAGTATTTTTTAACTGCTAAATTTTGTATGCCATCCTTGCGGCACTTATCCGTATTGCATCTATGCCTGTGTCATCATTTGTGGTTTGTCTCAGACTCCTTAGCGCTTACAGGCTATACAGAAATTGATACACCTCACCCCTTAGTCCTCCATATCCAACTTTGGCTACGCCGCATCTTAACCAAGCATAAAGATATTGTTTTTTGATGGGTCCCTGGTCATGTTGACGTACACGGCAATGAACAGGCAGACACTGCTGCGGGGTCAGCAGTACATGACCTACCATTTCATATAGAGGTATTCCATTTACGGACTATTTTGCGGGAATATCTTCCCACCTTCACACCCTTTGGGCAACAACGTTGGTCTACTATCCCTCGGTAACAAACTTCAGTCTATTAAACCGAGTATAGGTTACTGGCCGTCTTCTTATCACCAGTGTCGAGGTTGGGAGACTACTCTCTCCCGTCTTCGCATTGGCCTACTCCGTTTACCATGGATATCTCATGGAGAGGCGCCCCTGCTCCTCTCTGTGAGAATTGCCAGGCTCCATTTATCAGTCAGCCAACATTCTGTTGGACTGCCCACTTTATCAACGAGCACGCAGAATTTACCTGTCGTTGTCTTTGCTCCGCTGCTCTCTCTTTACCTTCCCTTCTCGCTGATGGACCACCTTTCATCCGGACTCTCTCACTGACTTTTTGACAACAACTGACTTACTTCACAAATTGTGATAACTTCAGCCCTTTCTACCTCAATCTCTTGCTACCCTCTACCCCCGTACTATCCCCTGCCCGGCTGTTTTCTGTAACCTACTGATCATCCCTCCTCCCTTCTGCCGCCCAATACCCTCGCTTCCTTCCCTACCCTGCAGCGCTGTATAGCCCTTGTGGCTTAGCGCTTCTTTTTGATTATAATAATAATCTAAATTTGAAAAGTCTGAAAAGCGAAGCAATATTTCCCATAAGAAATAATGGAAATACAATTAAACCATTCCAGAAACCCAAAAAAATTCACAAAAAAAAAATACATTTTATAGAGATTAATTATAGTTTTACATTTCCCCACAAAATTTTAAATTAAAAAATTTTTAAAATTTTAACCGGAAAAGGTTAGGGGGGTTTTTGGGGGGGGGGGGGTTTTGTTTTGGGGGATAAACCCCGAGGGGCCCCCCTTCGGGGGGGGGGGGGGGGTTTTTCCCTTTTCAATCCCATCCCCTTGGGTCCCCGTTAAAAAAAATCTTTCCCGCCCCTTTTTTGGGGGCCTCTTTTTTAAAAATTTTCTTTTCCTAAAATTTTTGGCTCTTTTTTTGTTTCTCAGGGGTTACTTCCGCCCTTGTTTTACCTTTTTGAAAAAAAACCCTCCCCCGGGCGGGAAACCCCTTTTTTACCGGGGAGGGTTCCGGGGGTCCCCCCCGGGGGTTTTTTCCATTTGGGGGTAAGCGAAAAACCCTTTGTTTGAAAAAACTAAGAAAAAAAACCCAAAAAATATTTAGGGCTTTTTAGTTAAACCCATTGTGGTAATTTTATTTTTAATTTTAAAAATTTCCCCCTAAAATTGTATGGTTTTTAAGGGGGAAAGGGGGGGTTTTTTGAGGGTTTTTTCCAAGGGCGTTCCCCCCTGGGTATTTTTTTGTTAATTCATTTCCCGGTTTTCAGGGTTATAAATTTTTCCCCCCTGGTTCCGGGAAAGGTTTAAACCCCCTCCCTTAATTTTTGGTGTTTTTTCATCCCCCGGGAAAAAATTCTCGAAATTTTTTAGGCCAAATTTTCCACCTCCGGGAAAGGTTGAGGTCAGGTTTCCACCTAAAGAACGTGTGGGGGGGCACGGGGTTTCCCCAACTTTGGCGAATTTTGTGGCTAGCGGGTCCAGTGGTAACCAACTAGGATTTTTGAGACTCTCTGACCGGGGGGGGTTTTTAAAACCCGCCCTGGTATGGTTTTGGATTCTCCAAAACATTTGGACATCATTTTAAATTAATTTTTTATTATTTCCTTCTTCATATCTTGGTTTTTTTACTTTCTTTACCCGGGGTACCATTTGTTGTTCCCTTTTGGGGCCCTTTTTCCCTTTTTTCACAGCCCCACAAGCAGAAAAAAAATGAAAAAATTGTAAAAAAGTTTGAATGAGGCCAAGGGTTTGTTTCACTCAAATCAACAAAACCAATGCCTCACAGCACCCGGTGGGGACCGGACAGAGCAGGGTCCGGGGCAGGGCCCCTACCCCCTTTTTCGAAAAATAGAGGCAAGCTCGATAATAGGGACAAAGTTGCTTCGAAAAAAGAGTTCTATTTTCGAAGAGTTTGATAAGCGATACGTTTGAAATTTGAGGTTCCACTGTACTGTACTGCAGATATAGTTTTCTCTTCAAATCTAGCAGCTTTTTACTTTCAATGTAACAGTTTTCATTTATGTTATATTTTCTTCCATTCAGTCATGCAAAAAAATGTACATTAATTTATGAATAGCCATCATATTTTTTATATAAACAGCAACATAAAGAAAAATAAAATTATATTATCAGCTAAATGTATACATACTTTCTCTGTACAAGCTGCAGTACAATGGGCAACAGTATTCCAGTTCTGTCCAGGAGGAATAATGTGTGTTGGTGACACTGTGTGTCCCAGTGTTAAAATTCCAGCGTCATACCGACGTAATTTTTGAGTATACATGATACGCACCCCAGAACTGTCCACAATACCTGAAAAAATGTAAAAAAAAATAGTAGTCAAATGAAAGGAAATAAATAAACTAAGGTTCCAGTGGTAGAAAGACTTAAGATATTTAAACCCCAGGATTATCCACACCGCGTGAAAATTAAAAAAAAATGTATATAAAATGGTAATCAAGGTAATAAATAAATAATAAACTAAGAACATGTTCCAGTGATAGAAAGACATAAACCCTTAAACTGTCCAAATGTAGATCTACGTTTAAATGCGTAGCGCTCTGACCTTGATTTTCCCCATTTGAAAGCATGTAAAAAACGTAGATCTACGTTCAGAGCGCTATGCAAGCAGATGTAGATCTACATTTGGACAGTTTAAGGGTTAACATAAAATTTAAGTTACAATATATGGTACAGTACACAGAGAATAAGTGCCAAATGATGGTTGGCTTTCTGGCATGACTTTGAGAGATGTGGAGTTTTGTGTACTGAGGAAGAATAAAGGGCAGCCTGTTTAAGATTTTTTTTTTAATTAACACATCAGCTGTTTCCCGCTCCATCAGTCATGCCAGAGACATGCCGATACAACAGATCAAAAACTGCAACATATCTTCACCCCCTCCTTCAGAGTGCAGGTACAGTACTGTACTTCCCACTTCCAAGACTCAAGTCCAGCTAACCAGTTTCTCTGAATCCCTTCATGAATGTTACTTTGCTCACACTCCAACAGCATATCAAGTCATAAAAATAATTTGCCTCCACTCACTCGTATTTAACACACTCATATACACTGGAAGTCTAAGTCCCCCCCACATCCATACACATCCTGAGGGTAGTGTTCAAACAAGATTACAGAGGCAAATAATTAGTCCTGGGATGAGATGCCTAGTATGGTATTTGATTCCTCCATTTAGCAGTCAGATGCAGGAGGAGTAGCTGTTGACGATTCAGTTAGGACCTGGATCATTAACTATTAATTGTGTGTAATAGTTAATGATCCAAGTAATCATAAGTCCTTTCCTCCACTTATGTTGGGCAGGATAGTTGTGTTTTGTTCCAGTTAAAGTATTGTGTCCTGTTATTCTTTATGTACAGATGTAACTCCTTACCTGGCTTAAGAGATGGGTTATCATATGAATTTCCAGCATGAAGTAGGTTGCACCTTCCATGTTCCTCCTTCCCAAAGGTACACCACATGATCTGGATACCATCCTCACCTGTAAACAGCAGAGGCACATTTATGCACCAACTCCCTTGCTTGTCTGTACGGAAAATTTTTTATTTATATACAGTGATCCCGGGTAACGATATATTTTAATTTCAAGAATGTTTGTTCAGGTGCCCAAAGTCACTGAATAAACCGAATTTGTTCCCATAAAGGAATAGTGTGAAGTAGATTAGTCCCATTTCGGGGACCCCAAACATACACGTACAAACGCATTTACTTTAATACAACTTTGCATAATTGGTCGCATGGAGGTGATCGTTAAGCGGGGGGGTCCACTGTTATTTACAATTTGATAAAAGATACATTTATGTATGTACGATACATACAACTCAGCAACAGCTTACAGAATTATTATATATGATGCTGTATATACAGGTATATAACATAGTAAATATTTTTAATTAATGCTGGGATGAAATTTTCATTTGTAAATGTACTCTTTTTTAAAACAATTCCATCATAAATTAGCTAATAATCCGTTTAATATCTATACTCAATTTTAGACCAATTACTGATACCATCAAATTAGCCAATACCCACTGAACACTGTTATATCAAATTTTAAGACAAATACCAGTTTCTATCAAATCAGCAGATGCCCTGCTGATCCTTAAGCACATCAATAGTTTTAACATACCAGTTGTACCACTGAATTGTGTTACACCCAAAAAAACTTGCTTACCATCATTCATTCTATTAAGATATCTTTTCAGAAATGCATAAAGTATCACAATTCAAACTGACCTCTGAAGTGGAATATCCATGACCTCTTCAGTGTGCAGGTTTACTGTACTTTCCCAACCTCAGGAATCAGGGTCCAGTAAACCAGTTTTTGCTGAATTCCCTCATAAATATTTACCTTGCTCACCACACCCTACAGCGCATTCAGCCATAAACCTAGTCGTCTCCACTAACTCTGATCTAATGTTCTCATACAAGCCTGCTGGTTTGTTAAAGCTCCTGGACTCTCAAAACTCCTTAAACCCCGTCAATTCTCCCTGTGAAACTGATATACACAGCCAGACTCTTCCAACACTGAACTTGCAAAGGCATATGTTACAAGTCTGGTCACACTTGTGCACGTGAGTAGAGGCCGTTTGCCCCTTATCTGGTTCTCCCCCCCATCATAACTGGGCAGCCTATGGCCTGGTTAGGTTAAGGTTATTGTCAGGATCACAGGACAAGTTTCCGAGTGGATTCTTAGTAATGTGATGACCTGTGCGCTATGGCTGGGTCCTGCTCAAGTGAAGTCACATGACACATTAATGGACAGAGAGCCTTACACATAAGTGATACATAAATATACATGACAAAGTCATGTATCTGTTGCATTCACATCAAAAAGTACACACCAGTTGATTGTCCCTCAAAATTATTGCAACCTCTCAAGCTTCTCTGTGCAATAAGAACAAACAATAATATTTTTAAGCTCCAGTGAACTATCTCCACTAAATACTGCAAAGAGATGCTATTCTTTTTCCAAAATAAGTCTCAAATTTACCCAGTGTCTTGGAGATCGAGGTACCATTTATCTTTTTTTTTTTTTTTTAACAAAATTTAGCCAATCAGAATGGAGGGGGTCCTTGACACCAGAGCTTCTTAACAGCTAACATGATGATCTTTAAATGAGAATATGCTATTATGGAAGGAAGGAAGGGTTGGGGTCATCCCAGAAGGGGTTTGGGGATTGAGAGGAAGTTTGGGAGTGTTAGGGGCCTGAGCATTCAGCATTAGATCTGAGTGGGAGGCAAGTTGGTTAGTATGGCTTAATGTGCTGTTGAGTCGTCGAGCAAGGTAACATTTGATGGGATTCTGCGGGGAGGAAACCAGTTAATAAGAGCTGAGTTACTGGAGGTAGGGAAGACAGTGCCCTGCTTTAAAGGGACGGTGAGGAGGCTTGCAGTTAAGAAGGTCTTCAGAACTTGTGGTTTAGCTATGGTTGTAACAAGGACTAGTATCAAGTGATTGATGGATGATGATGCCATATTTTTTGAAAAGACAAAATAAAATTTGCTAATTATCAATGAAGGCTTGTAAATAAAATATTGGTTTTAGTTAAAATCATTGAAGGCTTCCAGACATCTATAGTGGGCAAGTTATTAGAATCAATTATCCATGCTGAATCTCAGCATGGATTCACGAGAGGTCGTTCCTGCCTGACAAACTTGCTGACGTTCTTCAATAGAACATTTGAGGCAGTTGACAGTGATAAGGAATATGATATTGTTTATTTGGATTTTAGTAAAGCCTTCGACAGAGTACCTCACAAGAGACTCTTAAGAAAAGTGGCAGCTCATGGTATAGGATGGTAAAGTTCTAGCATGGATTGAGGGCATGGCTTACCAATAGGAAAGCGAGAGTTTACCATTAATGAGTGAAATCTGTAATGGGGATTAGTCACTAGTGGCATTCCACAAGGATCAGTTTTAGGCCCTCTCCTGTTCATAATTTAATTAATGATCCTTGTTGAAGGGATTACTACTGACTTGAGTAGTTTGTGATGATACAAAGATAGGCGTATAATTCACTCTGAGGAGGATATCAATGATCTCCAGGACGATTTGACAACAACTTAATGTCTGGTCTGAAAAAAATTGCAGATGAAGTTTAATGTGGATAAGTTGTAAGGTTCTTGCCCTGGGTTAATGAAAAATAACCCTCATCGAGCTATAATTAGGTGAAGTAGAGCTTGATCATACAGAATGAGAAATAGTCTTGGGAGTCTTGGGTAAGCAGAAATCAAAAGCCAAGACAGCAGTGCCTTAGTGTGCGCACAAGGCCAACAGATTACTTGGATTTATCTCAAGAAGTTAAGTAACAGAAGTCCAAAGTTATTTTCAGCTCTAATACATCACTAGTGAGGCCTCATTTAGATTATGCTGCTCAGTTTTGGTCCCCTTACTACAGGATGGACATGGGACTCATTAGAGAACATACAGAGAAGAATGACTAAAATGATTTACTGTGTAAGGAACCTCCGTATGAAGATAGATTTAAAAGCCTTAAATCTCCACTCTCTGGAGAGGCGTAGAATGAGGGGAGATATCATTGAAGTGTATAAAGTGGATGACGGGCATAAACAAGGGAGATATTAATAAGTACTGAGGGTGTCGAACCGGAAAGAGCCAGGAATAATGGATTTAAGTTGGATAAATTTACATTTAGAAAGGACATAGGTAAGTACTGGTTTTCTAACAGAGTTGTAGATGCGTGGAACAGTCTTCCCAGTGGGGTGATACAGGCTAGGACCTTGGGTAGTTTTAAGAAGAGACTGGACAAATATATGAGTGGGAGGGGCTGGGTTTGATTGGTGTCAAGGGGTATGGGAGTTATTTCTTGAGTAGCTTTAGGTAGATGTCGTTTTGATAAGGACCTGCCTCGTATGGGCCAGTAGGCCTTCTGCAGTGTTCCTACATTCTTATGTTCTTATAACCCTATTGCAAACTACAGCTACTGAACGAAACTGCAGAAAGATATTGCATAACTTAATCCTACACAGTAGACTCTCCCTTCATATCAGGGCAAGTTTGACATACCTTCTGAGCCAATGGCCCATGCAACAATGGGAGTGTTGCATGCAGACCACGAGAGAGGCATGTTTCGATCATAACACTGAGCACCATTAACCTGCACAAACTTATCCAGGTGCTTGTCTGAATTTGGAAGGTAACATTCGTACAGCAGCATATGGTGCACATGTTGCAAGTTTTCCTCTTCAATCAACGGAACATACTGCAGGAAGAAAAAAAATCACATTTAACTTAAACAACATAGCTGTTGCAGTCTGGATCGTAATTTAAACTGTGATGTCTGTGTACCTGTCAACACAGCTTTTAGTAATGAAACTAGTTCCTCTTTGAGTCACAACACCTGGTGGGAGAAAATGCCTGGTATAAAAACAATAACTTACATTGCTAGCAATAACTGTACTGTTAAATACACAACACAGACCCTTACACTGTATAAAATACCATAATTGATGAAAAATTTTAACATTTAAGCGAGACTCACTAGTGAGGGTTCTATTACCATCACTGTATTTTGTGAGATAGGATTGAATAGATCAATTGTCCTTTCAAGGGAATGGGTGCTACCCTCAACTACCTTGGATCAAATAGGATTGCTGTTCATTCCTCATTTTCCCAGGTGTTATATTACATCTATGGATTCAGCACTTCCCCATAAATTTTACAAAATAATTGTAAAGTATTTCAGTTTTTCTTAATTTCTTTTAATGTAAATTTTAAGTACCAATGCTTTTCTCTGAAATGTTAAAGTTTTGTTAAAGGGGAGAGTGCTGTATGCAGCATTCATGTAAAGGGATTTTATAAGTGATGTATTCAGGAAGCAGAGAATAATCTTTCCTCTGTAAGAAGCAACTAAAATGACGAGAGCAAGGGGCTAGTAACCCCTTCTGTGTACATTACTAAATTTAAAAAGAAAAACTTCTGTTTCTTCTTTTTTGGGCCACCCTGCCTGGGTGGGAGATGGCTGGTACATCAAAAAAGAAAAAAAAAGTGGTTGATAGTATACAAGTAGCACACAGAGCAAGATAGAATCAAATCTTTTTTTTTTTTTTTTTTTTTTTTTTCAACAAACCGGCCGTATCCCACCAAGGCGGGGTGGCCCAAAAAGAAAAACAAAAGCTTCTCTTTTTAAATTTAGTAATTTATACAAGAGAAGGGGTTACTAGCTCCTTGCCCCTGGCATTTTAGTCGCCTCTTACAACACACATGGCTTACGGAGGAAAAATTCTGTTCCACTTCCCCATGGAGATTTTTAGATTCAGGTTTTGCCACCGAAGTGGCTAGTTTATTGTGCACCCCATATCCATCCTGTGGATGGTAGCGCGAGAGCATATGGATACACAAAAGGCCTAGGAACTAGGCCCCAAAGGGTTAACTGGAATACATATGGATTTATATCTACATATCTATAGTTCACTTATCTGTTACAAGCAAATTTAGGAAATTTGTTTAGTATATCTGGTATCTTATTTTCATTAATAAGATATCTTAACATGTCACATAGGTTATTATACTGTCTGTCTCTGTATTCCTCAATAAGTGGACAATTAAGCACATAGTGTTCAAGAGAGTGACCATATGCCTGTCACATAATTTACATTTAGTTGATCATCATCTGTGTCTCCCAAACTCCCGGAAGTACTTTTTAACCAAGCCTAAGCTGGCCACTACATCATCAGTCAGTACTTGTAACCAGCCTAAGCCTGGCCACTCCCAACATCAGTCAGTGTTCACATTGCAAGTTGCTCCATAACTTTCTTATCAGTTCATGTTATCATAGGGGTTATAGATCTATCAGGCTTCTAACTGCATTCCTATAACAATCATTTTCATTATTTACTTCTCTCCTAATATTATTCCTAATGCTAGACACAGTTAACCAAAGTTATATTCTACTTTCCCCCTCTGGGTACTCTTCTTGGCTAACATATCAACTTTACATGAAGGAATAATCCAATGTGTGATGGGATCCATAGCAATTGTACTTTAAATTTCCCTTTTTCCCTAATTTTTGAGTATCTATACCTGGCTTCTCCAATGAGCATGTTGTTGGAGCCTTATATGAGTCAAGAGCCTTCAATGATGACATAGAACCAGAAATGATGATAGTAAAAGCTCAGTGCATAGGTTAGCTTTAGGCCTTTAGGATTGCAAAAATTCAGTTTGCAGTTGTAGAGCCCAGTTGTTAATTCTTATGCCTAACTCAACAAATTTATTATTGTTCTTAACTAGGGAGGGGGGCAAAAAGAGCAGATGCAGCCCTGCCAGAAGACTCCTGTTTAGATCCATCAGTGTATATAACTTATTACTACCAGCTAGGTGAGAATTTCTTCTTGAGCAGTTGCTCAAAACAAGAGATTTAAGGAAGGGGATTACTAGCAATGAGCTTTTTGGGGAAGGGACTTGTAGGTATGTGATATTAAATGAACACATCTTCCACGGAGGGGTGAAATGCTCTTGTTGCCTACAGTGATACAGTTCATGCAGGTTATAAACTTAATGCAATTTGGGAAAGTTTTCACAATCCATTTAGATCTGTGTGTATTTACCTCTAGACACTTGGTAAGATTCATTGTGAAAATGTCTGGTTCGTTTCTCAACATTCTAATACCGGTACAGTGTTAATCTCAACAATCCTATCACTGAACTAGAAATACCAAGCTCCTTCCTCTGTTAAGAACTTTTGTAGATCTGGGACAGCCAAGAATAATTCTGAGAGCTTCATTTTGCATTAACTCCAAGGGTCGGAGAGAACTTTCTCTAGGTAATATCAACATGGGAGCAGCATAATCAATTAAGGACCTAACATAGGCTATGTACATCATTCTCACGATTCTCACATTGCACCATAGTTGGGATTGTAGCCAGCAACAGCTTTGAGAGCATTTAGCCTAGCTTTGCATTTCTTGTTTAGTTGTGGTATAGTGGATTTGTTAAAGGGTACATCTACACCAAGATATCTGTAAGTTTTAACATAGCTAATGATTTCACCCTGCAAATACAGTGGACCCCCGCATAACGATCACCTCCGAATGCGACCAATTATGTAAGTGTATTTTGTGTACGTGTATGTTTGGGGGTTTGAAATGGACTAATCTACTTCACAATATTCCTTATGGGAACAAATTCGGTCAGTACTGGCACCTGAACATATTTCTGGAGTGGAAAAATATCGTTAACCGGGGGTCCACTGTAGATGGGTGGGGGATGTCGTTTGCTTGTTAATATCTTTGTTTTAGAGGAAAATATTAGGAGGCCTAGTCGATTACAAATTGCTTGACCTTCATTAAGAATGGTATTCATCTTCTTATGCCCTGTTGTATGGATCATGATATCATCAGCATAGCTTATAGCTATATATTTAGGTGAGGAGGTGGGAGCATTTAAGAGAGCTTAATAAAGAATATTAAATAGAAAGGGACTAAGAACCCCTCTCTGCGGTGTCCTAAAGACATTTCTTTAGAATCACTTCTGAACCCTTGGTAAAGGACAGAGGATACCTTTTTGACAGGTATCCTATTATCAGCAGAGTAAGCTACCACCAATATTCATTTGGCTAAGTTCATGTAGTATAAGGGTTCTGTTCGCAATATCAAATGCAGATTTTAGATCAAGAAAAGTGGTAAAACTATAGAGGTGTGTGCGTGAGAAAGGTGGAAATACAGTTCTCCCAACCTTTTACCTTTCATGAACCATGGAGGTAGGGGAAAAGTTGTGTCTGAATTTCTGTTAGTACAGTCTGTTAATTTATCATTCTTTCAAAAGTTTTAAAAGACAACTAGTTAAGGAGATCGGCCTAAATGTATCAGGCTGTTGGGGCTTAGGGATAGGGACAATGAGACTATTGGTCCAGGAAGTAGGAAAACGCCCTCAATGTAAAATGAGATTATACAGTGCCAACAAAGGGTTATCAGGCACGTGCCTTAGAGTTCTGAGAATATCATAGGCGATACCATCCTCTCCAGGAGCAGTTGATGACCTTTGGTTAATGCATTATCTATTCATACTCGGTAAAGAGGCAATCACTCTCATCAATATTTTGGCTCATAAAATTAATCAGTTTCAACATTTCTTCAGAAGTACTCTCTAAATTTTTCTAATATGAGATGGAAGGTTTTCATGCCTGGATGTTTTTGGACAGTCATTTGAGGTCATTTGCTTTTTCAAGAGGAAAGGGATGAGCAACATTGCCAGTCTTTTTTCCCGGTTATTTTATTTATAAATTTCCAAGCCAAATCAAAGGGGTGGACCTATTTAATCCACTAACAAACGGTTTTCCCCTTCCTGTTGCCTAAGTTCTTCCTTTCTATTCCTTGCATTTGTAAATCAGCTTTGGAACTTTCTGAGCAAGTCTGGGGTTCTACATTAAAGGTATGCTTTACCCAAACCTCCTAGCTGCATGTGTTAGATTGCGTAAACTGTGGATTATTATAGTATTTACATTGGTTTTTTATTTTTATTTATAAGTGGAGGGGTCTTTGTTTTCCTATTCCTGCCCACTTGATCTGTGAGAACACTCTCATAGTGGTAATTAAATCATCATTAAATTTTTGTGTGCCAATGGGCTCGTAATTTCCCTTTTACCATTGATCCAAGTGGTTAATAAAGTTGCCTCTGTGTTCTGGTTTGAGAATAAGTTTCCTCCTTCTGTATTTAGCTCCTTGATTGCTGGAGATGTGATCAAGATTGACAGTTGTTAGTCTTGGAAGTGATCAGATAGAAGATCATCAACTATGAAAGTCATGCATCGTATATGATGTATTTAAAACCAAGACACAGATCTAGTATGCCACCATTTTATGTGAGTAGCTCAGTAGTGCCCACAATTCGAACATATCATGCTCATTTAGCAATTTCATAGTTAGTTCCATTGGTGTTTGTTACAGACCCACCAATATTCTTATGTCCCGGCATTAAAATTTTCCAAGAATGATGGTAGGTTCACTATTGATGCAATCTGGTAAAGCATCAGGTTGAAGCTGGTTCGCTGGGGCATAGAGATTAAAAAAGTTTATGGAAAAATCGCCTGCATATACTTTGACACCCTGATACTGCATGTTAACTCGACTCTGCAAGGAAAAGGAATGAATGTGGCAAATTCTTTCTGACATTTCATCACACAACAGTTGGTTGACCTTAGGTTATTTAAACTGCATATCCAGGCAAGTTGGGGGGAGGTGCCCATCTTTCACTCTACATTCCTGCAAAGATGACATCAATATTCTTGGTTGCACTAATATGATGTAAGTCAGGCAACCGCTTCCTGATGGAAGCAATGTTCCATGAAAAGATTTGTAATGTAAACCATTGTAGTGAGTTATTACAATCTCTTGCTCATAAGATGGTAAAACTATTATGCTTTGACTACAGTGTTTCAGACACTTAAGACAAATTTGCATAGTTTGTACATCTTTATCTTCAGGACCTTTATTTTTAAGCATTTTTTGGCATCTTGACAGCCATTTAAAAGGCAAGTTTTGAAGGCAAGGTCATGGCTTCTTTCTCACAAAATTTCTGGAAACTGAATGGGATTGCTGCACTTTTGACTCATCACCCCATGCTCAAGAGCATCATCCTGATTACATATATTTATTAAACTTTTCGGATTGTTCAAGATGCTCATTTTTTTCTGGAAATTTGTTATAATATGAGGAAGGTCAGGCGAATCCAATGCCTCTCCGGAGGATGGCACTTCTGAGTTAGTGCTTTCTTTAACACCTATCACCCTTTAACAAAGGGACCATGGGTTTCATTAGTGTTCTCTGTTTCATCATTCATTGCAGGGAGGTTCCTGTGCATCTGACTCATCTCCAATTTCCAGGGGGGTTACCTGTGTGGTGTCTGTCTGACTGTTGTAGTTGTGTGTATTGGGAGAAATGACAAACTCATCCCCATATTCAGGTGTAGCCATAGGTATCAGTAGTGGCAGACCAGTAGTTCCACATGTGCTAGCAGGGATGGCTAGCTCCTCCACAGTGTGGTGTGATGGCATTCTGGTATCAAAAAAGAATCCTTTGCAGTGAGGTGGGGTTTTGCACAAATTTGCAGAGGGGCAGTCCCCAGATCTGGCTGTGGGAACTGGATGGCTCATCCTCAGTTACCATTAAAGGACTGTTATCAGGTTTACATCGAAGGTTGTTTGGGTTTCTGACTGAAATTTCCTTGTGGGAAACTGTAACCCCAACTTCTTTACAGTTAATACACTTAAATTTTTGGCTGTCAGGCCTACTGTGCATTCTCTAGTAGAATGTTTCCCAACACACTTACCACACCAAGAATGTAGTATTCCACAGTCTACTGCAACATGGCCCTAGTGCTGGCATTTGTAACACCTACATTTAGGGGGTAGGTACACTTCGATTTTTAGGAAACGTAAACCATGCACCCAGATACTCCGGGGGAGGGGCACAGGACCCACCCAACTGGCAATAATTTGGGATTTTCCTTTAAGTCTTTTAGGCTTGATGATATGCTCACTGAGAGTCAGATGGGATGGGTCCATGTAGAGAGGCGTTCGCCATTTTAAAGTGGTGAGTGTTGATGAGCGGAGCCAGTTTAATAAAGGTGACAAGTGATCTTGATCAGGTCGGTTTGGTCCACAAACACCCAAATTTGGGTTTTTACTAAGTGGATCACTGATTAGGTGTCGTTCACTTCCGTTCCAGCAACACAAAGGGTGTGTAGAATTTTTCCTTAAATTGGATCCTTAAAGAAGATCTTGAGTTCTGTCACAAGCTTTAGTCACATTGCCAATGATCACTACGTGAGCCACCCCATGGAGATGAGGTAAAAAGGGAAAGAATCAGCAAAACCCACATTTGTTACTTGTGTACAGAAAGCATGTGTGACCTAATGTACGACAAGTGACGTTATAAAATCTTCTTTGTTATGAGCAAGTAAAAGGACACCAGCATCCTACCCATGGAGTAAAACAATTAACAGATACTAAAACTCAGAAAGAAAATAGGCGATGGTAAAACCTACTACCGGTTTGTATTATGTATAAGCTTTAAACATGATATAAAACCAGGGAAATTGTGACCTAAAATGTAAGGAGAAGGAAAGTAGCAGATATTAAGCAAAAAGTTTCGTGTTTTAGGGACAAGATATACGAGTACTATGTGCCAATTTACCTCAAACATATAAAGTTAAAATTACAGATTATTAAACGAGGTAGTATAAAAATCAACTGGATGTGACAAAAATTAAGAAATAGACCACATGAGATGCTGACCACATGAGATCCAAAACCACCTGAGATAGCAAATAGCCACAATTAAGATAGACATAGACACATATCACAAGGACATGAGATTAACAATGACCACTGTGAGATCACTAACCACTGGAGATAGCAAATAGGCACTTGAGATAGCCAATAACCACATGGATATCACAATAGACCACGTGAGATAGCAAATAGCCACATGAGATTACAACTAACCACATGAATAGCACAATAGACCAGTGAGAAGGACAATAACCACTGAGATAGCACAATTAGACCACATGAGATAGCACAATAACCACATGAATAGCACAATGGGACCACATGAGTTTGCACATAAACATGAGATAGCACAATAGACCACATGAGATAGCACAATAGACCACGTGAGATAGCACAATAGACCACATGAGATAGCACAATAGACCACATGAGATAGCACAATAGGCCACATGAGATAGCACAATAGACCACGTGAGATAGCACAATAGACCACATGAGATAGCACAATAGCCACATGAGATAGCACAATAGACCACATGAGATAGCACAATAGACCACGTGAGATAGCACAATAGACCACATGAGATAGCACAATAGACCACATGAGATAGCACAATAGACCACGTGAGATAGCACATAGACCACTGAGCACTAGACCACATGAGATAGCACAATAGACCACATGAGATAGCACAATAGACCACGAGATAGCACAATGGGCTTTAAAAGAATGTGCAGATGTGAATTATCCACTTTGGAAAATTTTTATGATCTCACTTTAGGAAGTAAAAAACAAGCAGATAAATGAGAAAATAGACACACATACAGTACAATTCAATCCTTTATTGACAACATTTTTACCACACAGTGACCTTTATCAAGTCACAAATGGAGTCAATACAGGATTGCATTATACTGCTTTTGTGTCTGTTTTTTTTCATTGTGTTGTGTTTTATATCATTTATCCCCAGATAAATGGAAAATGACATATATACTGTGTCAATATTTATAAAAGGAGGCAGGGAAAACCCTTTTATCTAAAGGCTGATTTTGTTGGAAACTGTTGTTATATGTATTGGAAAAAGTCATTACAGAAACTGGATAAAAATTGGCTTTTGGTTTGGAAATTCCTGTATATCAAAAATATTAAACTATTATGACAGCCATAATATGCTTATTGAACAAGTTAAATACATGAAGCTAATAAATCATTAGACAAGTAAATACTGCTGAAGAGGATTCCAGAAATGGGTGGGGTGGGGAGGGGGGGGGGTTGAAATATACAGATCAATCAATCTCCTGAGTTTCTGTTTCCATGTGAGTTATTATTCACAGTATAATAAGAATATTTGCTGAATGACCTTCCCAAGTACGTACCACATTTTCCAGCATATGAAGCGCACGAGTGTTAGCTGCTTGCTGGTACGATGTTTCTAAACAGTTGTAATGTAATATTAGTTAACTACTAAAGCGTAACACAAAGGCTACCCTTGACCTTGAGCATAAAGGTGCAGGCTGATTTTCCATGACTTTTTTTTGTGTGTGTGTGGGGGGGGGGGGGCACGCCTTATGGCCAGAAAATATGGTATATAATATTGTATTACTAAACAGTGGACTCACGCCAATGACATGTGCTTTGTGAGTGAGGGTGGGGATCTTGTAGAGCTTGCACCAGTACAAAGTAGGAAGATCATCAGGTAATCGTACCTGTAAAATAAAATACCGTTACAGTCTTCCTTATGAATTTGCAGGCGTCCATATTCATGGATCTTGATTATCAAACCTTTTTAATTGATCATGAAATCGTAATAACATGATTACAAACAAACCACAGAAAAGGTGGGGTTGAACCCAAGGCAAGAGAGTCATGAAACTCCAGGCTCTGGCCTGGATTTTTAGGACTTGCTTACCATGAGTTCAAACCCCACCTGTTCAATAGTTTATTTTTAATGAAAATGAGTAAATGAATGGATTCAATTATCTAATATTTTTCTAGCTCACTTGCAGTCCCATGCCCAAATATCTCTATTCTAATCCATATTTCTTAAACAATATTCAAGTGATATATTACATAGATATGGTTTCTGAACCACAAAATGAACCAAAATCTTTAACAATATTTATGTTAACCATATTTTGTATTTAATATTTATGGTTTCTACTGTCACAAGACTTAAAAACATAATTTGTAGATATGACTCTTATTAAAAAAATACTTTGTAATCAAGTCACTCATTTAAGTTTAACACAAGACTGTTCCTAGGTGGAAAATGGCTGATGTGGGGAAAAGAAAGAGCGTCATTTACATTATTTTCTAATCACAATAATAATAATTATTTCTACAAGTACATGTACAATGAATACAGGCCTAGCTGACATCAGTGACATATTACTATACAGAAAGCCCTGGTTAGGCAGAGCATTTTCGGCAAATTAGGCCAATTTTGTCTCCGTGATGTGACCCACACCAGTCGACTGACACCCAGGTATCTATTTTACTGATAGGCGACAATGGACACTTATCTAATGTCTCCACCCATACTGTAGATCACTAATTTGTCCAACCACATTAAGAATAAGAGCGAACCAGATTTTCAACAGTACTGGAGGGTCACATAATTTTTTATGCCCCCTTTCATTTGCACATAACTTTTGTTTTTTGTTTTTTTTGCATGTTTTAGCTTCCAAATTATAAAAATTACTGAATAATAAACTGGGACAAGTTTTCAGGGTTCTTGTTCCCTTATAGCCCAGTCTGAGATCAGGCTTTCCTCTGAATTGACACACTAATCAGGCTTTTGATGATAGTGGTCCATTGCCATCACAGCCTTACTGATTTGTCATTGAGAGACTAGTTTTTTCAGTTTCCTCTTGAAAACCTCTACATATTGAAATCTAAATAACTAACTGCTAGATGACTGTTGATCTACTGTATTGACATACATATTTATTTACACCTGATTAGTATTTAATAATTTAGCAGGATGCATAAGAGATGAGCATTACTTCAAAATTCTGACATAACATGATCTTGTACTGTAAGCTTGGCTTGGTAAGCTGTAAATACAGGTTAATTGTATTTGCTACAACTATTACACAGTTTTGTATATACAGATAAAAAAGAACAATACAACATACATTTATCTTAAAATATGGTGCCAGTCCCCCTTTCCTTATGCAACTACTGTATGAAAACAGCAGAAAAAGCACCAAACATAATGAACAATAGCTCAATTGAAAAACCACCAAAAAGAGGGTGCTCAATATTTGGGCCCCTCCTGTGCTGTAGTTGTAATTAAAAAAAAAAAAAAAAAGGGGTTTGGATATTAAATTTCACAAAAAACGTGTAAACAATTGCAAGGTAAGTTACTACTACACACCTGTGGAGAGAGCACATCCCAGTAGTGGAGGTGGGCAGGGTTGGGGAGAGGAGCAGCCAGGTGGGGGTCCCGAAGGTAAAGGCTCCGGGACCCCCGGTGATCGTGCATAGCCAGACGCTCGCTGCTTGTAGGGTCGTGTTCGTCATATGACCACACCACTCGTGCTGTGTCACCCTAGTACAGAAACATGAAAATATTTAATTGCATAATGAATAAATGTGTATGTATAGTATGTAATATACATGCATATTTATGCATGAGAATACACCCATTAAAAATTGATTGGCTTCTGTTAATACGTCTTAATCTTGTGATACATCAGTCTAACTGAACCTAGCAAAACTTAACCCAGACTGTCCTAATGGGTAGGGATAAAGTTTTGGGACTGAAAGAGTACTGGAACTAGGTTCGTTATTCAGTGCTCTAAGCTCTTACACTCATACACACCTCATAATTTTCAAGATGCCAGTTACATCCCAATGAGGTAGGGTGACACACACACACAAAAAAAAAAAAAAAACATTCACAATTCATTCAGTAACTGTTTTGCCAAGTGTACAGAGCCATCACAGTTCAAATAACCTGCCGAACTGCAACATCACCCTTCCTCCAGGGTGCCAGGACTCAGTCTGGCTCACCAGTGTCTCTGAATCCTTTTAAAAAACATTACCATGCTGACACTTCAACACTTATTGTACACACAGTTCAAAATAATCCATCAAATCAATAACAAGAAAACATAAACACTGCAAAATGATGTATAGAAAAAATTATTTGTTTTAAAGAATGCCCCACACACAGCAAAATGATGTAAGAGTAACATGTCCAATATTTATAAAAAATACAGTAATAATGCTATATGTCCATTATCAAGAATGCTTCAGGCCTAAGTCACAGTGGCATTCCATAAGCCACAAACAGGCTGGATTTCCCACAAGCATGTGGTCCCACTGTTATGAAAAGTGTGTGTACTTCATAATCGAGGAAAAAGAGAGGGTGATCATTATGTCAGAATGAAATAAAAGGAACCATTAGGCTACTCCTGCCAACACAACCATGAGTACAGGCTACCCCTGGAGTCACCTCATACCCTACTTGGGGCACATTTCTTAAGGTGGTGCTCCTTGCATTAAATGAGCAAGTTTGATCAAATTTGACTGTTCAGAATGAGAGCACCCATGATAAAAGTGCCATTTAGCTGCTATGTGGTGAGGGCAAGAAAAGCCAGATTGTGTTGCCTGTATTTGTGTACAGCGAGCATCAAGAGCCTGACTGATCAGACAGTCAGCAAAGAGGTCAGGTCAGGGACCGAGCTGTATATTTTTGATGAGTTCCGAGTGTTTTTCTACTCCCAGAGCCCGACCTTGGGCCAGGTGATGATCCCTAAAATTAAAACTGGATTTCCAGATGACCTCTACTTGCACTTCCAGCATCAGATCTGGCCTATGGCCAATTTCCTTTTTTACTGTCTGATTACCATGCTGTTGGTGCTAGCATCCCACAGGCCGATGTAACCATCACAAATTCCTACAAAAGAAATTTTTATTCAAGAGGAAATATCATCATTGTTTGGGTCAGGGGGCTCTTAACCTTTTTACAATTAAAGACCACTAACGAACAGATTGCCTAATATGTACCCATACTCCTTTCACCAGACTATGAAAATCACCACCACCACCACCATTCCTATTAGCTACCAGTATGACTTCACCCCATTTCCATAATTAGCTTTTCCAGTATGACTTCACCAGTCCTATTAGCTACCAGTATGACTTCACCAGTCCTATTAGCTACCAGTATGACTTCACCAGTCCTATTAGCTACCAGTATGACTTCACCAGTCCTATTAGCTACCAGTATGACTTCACCAGTCCTATTAGCTACCAGTATGACTTCACCAGTCCTATTAGCTACCAGTATGACTTCACCAGTCCTATTAGCTACCAGTATGACTTCACCAGTCCTATTAGCTACCAGTATGACTTCACCAGTCCTATTAGCACCAGTATGACTTGAAGAGATGTCAATATCATGGTTTTACTTTAAATATGGATAGCTAGGAACACAACAGCTGATAGTTTATTTAAATCTAACAATTTTTTTTAAATTGTTCAGAGACGAGTCCATATCCCCATCATTTGGTTCTTGTACCCCTAGTTAAGAAGCCCTGAGTAAAGTCAACAGAGAGAGGGAAGGGGAGTGCAGGACTCTTCAGGTTATTCCTGAGTAACCACCACTTAAACCCCACCATAAACAGGTGACCCAGAAGTGGGGCTACTCTTAGAGAGTTACTGTCATGTTGATATCAAAAGGCAATTTACTGGTGGGTGATGTATTGCAAGAGTTTCTGAGAATGTGTAAGGTGAATATGTATGTATGTGACAGTACCACCACCTTGGTGTAGGGGTTGGAGCTATTTACCATTAAACTTTCAGGATGGCTCTCTGTTGTACGCTAATTATGTCAGCTGACAATCAATGTATCTCAAGGGTACTGAATTTTTCATTAAGTGTATTGACCAGTCCTACTAGTGATGGTCAGTGTGTGATGGGAAACTCTCCTAACTTATACATGAATGGTAAACAGTACTGACAAGTTGAAGAATTAGACACATGTATAACATCTGGGTATCTTTATTTACAGATGTTTTGCCATCCAGTGGGTTTATCAATCAAATTCAAGGATATAACAAGAAGACTGTAGAACTATATATACAAGGCTGAGGGACTGATTACCTCATCTTTTGTATATAGTTCTACAGTTACTCATTATGTCCTTAAATTGTATTGATAAAGTCACAGGTTGGCAAAACGTCTACAAATAAAGATACCCAGATGTTGCACATGTGTCTAATTCTTCATCTTCTAAATTAACACAGTGTCATTTATCTAGTCCTACTGAAGAAGCATTAACTACAAATACAAATGTTGTTACAAACGAACGAATTAATAATTTATTTGTCTGATCACCTTCTATGATGACATAAACAGTTCCACACATAACATACCATATTAATAATAAAATTTGCTAAATACCACCTACACACTCAGATAATCCCAACTTTTGTGGAAATGGGATAATGCTGAAATTTATAAGTTGATCAGAAGAGGCTCTCAGGTTAACACACAGCAACCAAAGTCAGTAACAATACACAAATTACCCACACATAGGAGAGAGAGAAGCTGATGACAAGGTTTCAGTCTGGCTTGGATCATTTACAAAGTCACTTTTAAGTTAACAGAGTGATGGAGCCAATACTATACATAGGCGAGGGGGACAGGGACAGGGACAGGACCAAGAGAGGAAGAAAACGAGGTAGTGCAGTTTTTTTATGTATTCCACTCACGGTATTGTGCCATTTTGTTATTAACATCAGAAACAGTCTGTATTGAATTGATCAAGGAGCTCCTGCATTCACCAACAGGTCTATGGATCTTTTTCTTACAATTCACTAGTATTGAAAATTTAAGGCATGTCTTACTATGTATGTTTTTAAAACTTGATCATGTATATCAGTTTGCGTGCAGGCCAGCAGTAACAGCCTGGTTGATCAGACCCTCATCCATCATGAGACCTGGTCTCAGACCGAACCGCAGGGGCGCTGACCCCCGAAACCCTCTCCAGGTAAACTCCAGGTGTATACCTACGTTATAGAAAAATATCGAGTGGACCATATATGTATGACAAATGCACAGCAGTGACCTGTGGGTCTCATCCAGGTCACACTCTAGGTCACAACAGGTCACTCCAGGTCACATACAACAGGTTGCACTCCTCCAGGTCACACACAACAGGTCACACTCCTCCAGATAACACACAACAGGTTGCACTCCTCCAGGTCACACACAACAGGTCGCACTCCTCCAGGTCACACACAACAGGTCGCACTCCTCCAGGTCACACACAACAGGTCGCACTCCTCCAGGTCACATACAACAGGTTGCACTCCTCCAGGTCACACACAACAGGTCGCACTCCTCCAGGTCACAACAACAGGTTGCACTCCTCCAGGTCACATACAACAGATCACATTCTTCCAGGTCACATACATTATTCATAAGGTGCGTGTTAGTGAGTCACATCCAGCATAGTCGGGCCTGTGTACCACCACACACAAACACATCCATAAAATCACACAAAAGTCGGGTCAAATTCCGCTACCCCGTAGCTCTGTGGTAGTACACTGGGACTCAATCGAAGGCACACGAGGTCAAGTCCTGGGTGGGGCGGGACGCATGGGCAAGTCTGCTAACACTTAATGTCCCTCCTACCTAGGAATTAGTGGTATTGCAGGTGGCATTTATGTACAGCTAAGTAAAAAATACCAGTGAAAATAGGAAATTAAACCTGAGCGCTGTCATGTTCTTACACACATATTCTTGTGCTTACCGTCCTATTCCTCTGAAGATGTTTGTGTAGGCACATGAAAGCGCTCAGGTTTTATTTCCTGTTTTCACTGTGGTATTTTTACATATTCGCAATCCCGCGTTTTATTGTGAATTCTTCCATGTACAGTTAACTAAAGTACCAGTCATATAGCCAGTTACATGCATACTATTAGACAGTCATAAATGATCCAGTCACCCAACCACTCCTCTACCAGCCAGCCAGTTCACCAATATTTTTTTTTAAATAGGTCGATAGGCAGGAACATAAAACTGCTTTCGCGTGCCGTATGGGAGTAATTTGTGGTAAAGAGGGAAGGGGAGAGAGTAGTTTGAGGGAGGGGAGGGAGTAGTTTAGGGAGGGGAGGGAGTAGTTTAAGGGAGGGGAGGGAGTAGTTTAAGGGAGGGGAGAGAATAGTTTGAGGGGAGGGAATAGTTTAAGGGAGGGGAGGGAGTAGTTTAAGGGAGGGGAGGGGAGTTTCAATTCCTTGGAGCGACCATTGTTGAAAGGCTTAAAATGAAGTAACATATAAGTGAGATATGCAAAGGGAACTCAGGTATAAATAATAGGGTTATAAATAGTGTTAAAAGTATTTTAACCAAGAATCCCTGACCAGCGGCTTCAAAATGGATTAATCCAGATTTAAAAATGTAAATAAGCCACGTGTGCACCTGATAGATCTCGAGGGATTTCGTGTCCTGACTCACAAAACTATAATAACATGACTGGAAATAAATCACAGAACGTTCCTATGTATTTATTGTGCTCTGCATAGTGCAGTGTTTGTT